CTAAAAATAAGTAAAAAATAACTTTAAATATTGTATGTTTTGGGATGTTAAAGTTTAAACGCTTCTCCTAAAAAAATGTGTTTTTGCATAAGTGACAGTGTCGCACCGGGGTGCGATATATAAAAAAATAAAACCTTATAATTTCAAAGTTAAAATATATTACCCTATAAATGCATGCGGTGTTAGTGAAAATAGTTTAGTCGGTCGTTAAAACTGGGTTAGAGAGTTGGTGCACGCTGATATTCTCTTTGAGATGGGTCAAGCCCGGGCTCTAGTTTTATGAGTCTCCATGCAAGTGCAGTTTGAGAGATTATTTCAATTTAAATAAATTAAGGCTCGAGTATAATAAGTTCGCAAACTATTATTATTGCGGGCAAATCGCAATATTGGGTACAGCTTACACATAAAACTACTGCAGTGGATACTATGAAAATCTCAGGTATATGTTTTTTTTTTCTATTTAGAATTTAATTAAGTAATAGTTTTATTTAATAGTGAATTTATATAAATAGTATAAGTAAATTACAGCAATAATAAATAAATAAATATTTCCAACACTCACATCAATTAGCCTAGCCCCAAACTAAGCACTGTAAGGCTTGTGTTATGGGATACTAGGGTAACGGATAGAATACATAAACTGTACATATATAAGTATATTTATATAGAAATACATATTTAACATTCATGACTGGAGTACAAATGCTCGTATTCATCACACAACATCTGCCCCCACCGGGATTCGAACCCGGGACCTCTCGAGTCGGCGACACCATGAAACCCGGCATACAAACCACTCGACCACGGAGGTCGTCAATGATTAAGTATTCGTCCTTTTGTTTCTCTTCATAACTTCCGTTCTTTGTAACTTCTTCTCTTGTTCAAAGATACAGAAATTGATAGTGCCTACTGTCTCATTTCGTACTTTTAAATTACGAAACGTTCGAAATCAGTTTTTACGTGCTTACCAATAGAAATATTTTTTAGAATATTATCAAATTAATCCTATGTAAATAAGCTTATTTCCTGAATAGGAAACACTCGGCTTAAATCAGTCCAAGTTAATCCTTAGAATGTTAACCGCTGAACGCCTTATCGCACAAATTATGTAGTAAATTACAGAATTAAAGTGACCACTACATTGTAATTGGTTTAAATAATACGGACACAACACGCGATGCTATAGTTTTCACGTTAAGCACCAGAACCTCAGCTTATAAATATTTAACATACGAGAATGACATAAGTAATGTATAGTTAATTAAATAAACAATTTTAGTTGCAGTGCCACTAGATTATTTTTATATTTTCGTACAGAAGACTTTGACGTTGACTTTAAGAGGAAAAAAGCGGTCAAGTGAGAGTCGGACTCGCCCATGAAGGGTTCCGTAGCAGCAAGTAACATTATATTAAAGTTCTTGTAGTTCGTTGTAACAATCTATGTTTTAATAATAGTGTATTTCTTTAAATTGATTTGTGATTTATGAAGTATTAAAAAAACTACTTACGTTAAAACCAATTTTCAGTGAAGTTTAAGTTAAGTTATCTGTCTCTTATTTTAGATGTTACAGAGGGGGGACACCACACATTTTACCTCTTTGGAAGTGTCTCTCGCGCAAACTATTCACTCTGGAAAGACATTATACTAGAAACCTCAATATCTCAAGACCTATCCATAGATACCCCACACGTATGGGTTCGATGAAAAATTTTTTTTGAGTTTCTGTTCTAAGGGGACCCAAAAAATTTATTGTATTCTTTCTATTTTTGTGTGAAAATCTTAAAGCGGTTCATAGAATACGTCTACTCACCATGTTTCAACACTGTAGTTCTTATAGTTTCGGAAAAAAGTGACTGTGACATACGGACGGATAGACGGACGGACATGACGAATCTATAAGGCTTACATTTTTTGCCATTTGGCTACTGAACCCTAAACACGGTTTGTTTAGCGATAATGTAGTATGTACGTAAATAATTGCCTACAACAAATGTAGGACTGATGTTTCATCATCATCAGCCTGTGGTGCTTTCCTTATAGATAGAATAGGTATAGCGAGCCGTGACCCTCCACGCGAGCTTAGTGCCAATAGTTTAATTTATAAGAAAGTTAGGGCATAACGAATTTCTGCTCAAATTAGAACGCCCGTCTGAGAAACTAACTGCCACCTGACAGACGACCACAGTAAAATAACACTACCTTTTTGTGATGTTGCGTTTCTGTCGGTATGGTTCCAGGTCTCCATGGGGTAGGGGATTGGGTCAGCGGCACGATTGATATTTTTTGTATCGTAAGTGTCCATCTATAGCCTGGGTTCCGAACTTGGGGGTAAATCAGCTATACTTCGGGGGTAACAACGAACCTAATTATTAGGTCAAATCTAGTATTTTTTTTCTATTAAATCAATTTATAGTTAGTATTAGAACATAATTATTTGCTTCGAATGCGTTAAATTTACAAAAATTTATTAGATACCTGTAAAAAACGGACACTTTACGTACTATAAGTATTTATTTTGCATTTTTTCACGGAGCTTTGCGGCATGTTGATTTTCAACAGTCCGCGCGTGACTGTGAGCCAAGTAGTGCTTGAGTCGTGTTCAAGCACTTCTTGATTGTGTTGTATCTAGGGTATTTAATATCGTTGCATAAAAAAGTATGAAACTGATGTCAATTTTGACATTTGTTGCACCTAGAGCGTAGTTTGGAACGCACCCCGGTAAACGAATGCAAATACCCACTAAGGTTTTTGCGCGATTTTATCAAAAGCGGTAAGTATTTTTCCATGAAGAAATCTCATCTAATATTCCCAAAAGTTCAATGTGGAAATTACATTTGTTAAGAAAATCGACTTCCAAACGTATTGCGGTCATTGTTTAGTTCATTGGCTCATTTGAAAAACTGTAGAAGAGAGGCGAGGTGAACTAAGTTAAATAAAATGTGGTTTTGATACTGAAGTTTTAATTTATATTAAAATCATTTCTGTTTTTTGCAGTGGTGTCACAATCGTCGCATCCCTCTGTAGAGCAGCTTAATGTTTTGATCGAGTTCCTGGCAGCTAATAGAGATTTAGCTAAAGGTTTCTCTAAGAACCTCAGTGCCAAATAAAGCTATCATGGCTAGCTCCACCAAAGGGGGCATCGACATGCAAAACATTGAGATCGGCATGAACAATCTCAAAATTAGGTAAAATACAGTACACCGCGCAGTAACGCAAGATTCATGCGCTTCTTCTTGCTAGCGAGACCGCGGGGTGCTGAGTGTGGGAGACGGGGCAAGATTTTTATTAGAGACGAAGATGTAGGTAGCGGCTCGATTGGATTTCTTGGACTGCGCGAGAGTAGTTACTTTCAAAGAAGAATTTCAAAATTTATGATCTCAGCACTTTTTGGATAAAATCAAGTGCCAAATATCCTTTGATAGCTAACAGAGCTTTAAAAATGATCATACCCCTTGCCACCACCAAAGGGTGCGAGAGTGGTTTTTCAACTTTAATTACCTCCATTAAAAACAAATGCCAGAAACACAGGACTTGAGATGCACTTTAAGTGAAACTAAACCTAACATAAAAAAAACTTATAAATGCAAGACAATTCCAACCTTCACAATGATTATTATTATATATTCATAGTTAAAATATGGAACACGGTAAATTTGTAATACTGTTCTGCAATTTGTGTTTTTTATGTAGCCTGCCTTGATTAATGATTATAATAAATTTGTGATTAATAAATATATTAGAATTTGCTCGTATTGATGATAACATTTGAAAGTCGGGGTAGAATCTGTTTTCCTAATATGTTACAGGGGTAGCAGTATTGAAAGGGTTAGGAAACACTGATCTTTAGGCAATGGTGACCGCTTATCATCAGGCGAGCCATACGTTTGTTTGCCACCCTTTTTACATAAAACATAATGCATTATTTTTATGTCTACAGCACCTTTAATGCTGGTGCCTCTTGAGCCATCAATGCGTCATGTTAAAGTAAAATGCTAACTTAAATTCGTGGATTATTAAGTTTCATCACATCAATTATTGCGGTGTAATATGTCTGGAATGTAACTTAACCGTTAATACTCATTGAATTCGAACTTTAACATGTATAATATTCCGTGCTAACTCCATCGAGCGATCCGTTAACTTCCATAATAAGAACATATTATGATAATTCGGAGTGTCTGTGTAATGTATGCGCTTTTCTGTAGGCATTTTAGCTGCAGTAATGCGAGAGTCTGCTGGTGACGAGTGATTTGATTTACATACGTTCAAATGTATAATTTGCTGTGGATTAAAATTTTGACGAAAAAGTTTTAGAAATTTTAGAGCGACCCCTCTATTGAGTTAATAAATGTTACTCTTGTTGGGTAACACTTCAGTAATTTGCAAACAGTATTTCTCTTGTCGAGTATGCGAGTATCCAAGATCGACCTGAGTGGCGTGCAATTGGAGAGGCCTATGTCCAACAGTGCACTAAGATAGGCTGTTGAAGAAGAAGATTTCTCTTGTCTTTATATAGATTGATGAGTTGTCTGTGGTGCTGCTATAAATCTATTGAGCAACCAACAAATGTTCAGTTTTTAAGTTTGTAAGCATTGCTTACATATTAGCCTTAAAGTGGATCACGAAAAGGGTCAAAGTTAAACAATAAAATCCCTGATCTGTGGTGATTTTACTCATTAAATAAAGAGTTATACTAGTTGGTCGCAGTATACTGTGAAGTGAAGCGTACTTATCCAGAAGCGTATTATAATTCGAGTACAAAATGGCCGTGCCCTACCTTTTTTACACTAATACGAACAAGTTATAAAAAAATACCTATGTCGGTTATAAATTAATTATCTTTCTCTTATAATCAGGAAATGTGATAATAATTTTTAGCCAAATAATAATTATAAGTGCATCTTATTCTAGCTAGACATAGGGGGAGCTTCCGACGTGATTCTCTAAACTTCTCTAAAATCATCGCTTTGCCCGTTACGCCAGAAGTTTTCAAGTTTACCTTTAGTTCTCCCTTGTGGCCCCCCTCTGGAAATAATTTCGCCACCATCCTCCCTTCTCCAGACTATTTTCGGGGGAGGGTACCCTCTTGCTTTGCAGACGAGCTTGGCTGAACCACCTTCTGGCACCATCATGTCGCCAGACGTTTCTTCATAGATTATGTCTGGCGGTATCACTACCTCCAGAAATGCAGTCTGCAACATAAATTCAATGTAAAAACAAATACCTACAAGCAAGACGATTAAATTAAACTATTTTACAAGCTTTTATCTAATTTAACTTACACTGAAAAAATATTACGCTTTTCTTAAACTTGCAAATAGTATTTTTTTTAATAGTTAAAACGGCTGGTGATTGTAAATTGGATGCAATTTGACCGAAAAAGTGTCAAAACAAAAGATAGGTTTTAATGTTTTGTTTATTCGTGTTTTATATAAAATTTGCATGAAAGATGCCTTTTATGATATGTTTTTACCTGCATTTTCATTGGGTCCGTGTTAACTTGGCACATGTATTGTCCTCTATCCTCCCTTTTGACCCCTCTAATGTTGAGCGTCCAAGTATTGTAGTCGTTGTGTGTGACGCTGAGCCGCGCATTGTTTGTTATAACATGCTCGTGGATAGCTAGAATCGCCTTTGTGTCCGCTTTGATCCATGCCACCTGATACCACGTACAGACCGACCATGCAGCGGCAAAGAGAAACCAAGTAAAGGGCCATTTTTAAAAAAAAGTAACACCGCCAACACAAAGGTGCAACGCCACATTTCTGTATCGATTATTTGAGCTTATCACGTCGTTACAAAAAAACGCGATGAAGTCTTTTATAGTGAACAAGTCTAATTACAAGCGAATGCTTCCCGAGAGGCAGTCACAACAACGATCCTCGAGCAGGCAATACTATCTTGTTGCGAGCTCTTCGCAAAATGCTCACGGAATTTTTAATTACATTTTGGTCTGGTCGCAGCTATGAGCCACGCTGCGGGCGCACTGTGAAAACGGTCCTCGTTTCACCCGCTTTACCAAAAGCGTCGACATCGCAATAGAAGCTAATTTCCTGCATAGCGCGTAACAAAAAACGAATAGAAATATGGCGTTTTTACTCTGGGGCACGCTGTGAGTCTCGGTATTAAAACTTTATTGTTAAAAACAACATTTACTACTGTTCGTTTAGAAGACAGTTCCAATAAGAGGACAATGAAAATTGTGAAAGTTTTTTTTGCTTTACTCTTTTATTTTTTACTTTAAATTCAAAAAGCTTGTACAAACTTAACTGTGTTTCGTTGTCAAAATACAAACTGAAAATCTTTGTATTCACTTTAATTTAATTTAAAATAGGAAGTTATTTTTAGATTACAGTGCAAGAAAGTGTGCACTACTAGGTGTTGGTGCAATCATGACACATACACTGCTACGAGATCATATATTATTGTAGTGCATGTGCAACAATACTAATTGTGTCACTAATAGGGTGCCTACAGCGAAATTTAAGACTACAGAGAGAAAAGCGAGAACATCCAAGCGCAAAGAGTCAGACAAGAAAAACACTTCGATGCTTTCGCTCTGTTTACAAAGACTTGCAATCCTTTCTTTGTACTGTTTCTACGAGTTCGACCTTATCTGCATTATTTAAATGAACTATGAAAGGATTGTAAAGCCGAAAGTGCTATGCAATCCCAAGACTATTTCGTTTGTGAAATTGCTCGAAAGCAAATATTTCTTATTCCCTTTTGAGTACATTATTTGTCTTGTTTATGTAAACATTTTAAGCATTTGTTCCGTACTGAAGATAATTAATGTATTTTAAGACATTGGGATTGCTTTCAAGTAAGAAGAAAATAAAATAGAGAAAAATTATAGTTACCACATTTCCAACTCATCCATACCAGCGGTGCATATCGAAGAGGTGTGTAAACTATTGGGATTGTGTATTTTGTGCATGCGATATTGTTTTTTGTCAATAATTTTCAGTGGATAATAAAACCAAACATGACAAAGAGGGAAGAACCTTCATTACTTTACGGTAAACAGTAAATAATAATTGCCAAGTCCGCGTTGTAGATGTTTTAATAATTAACTGTATTTATAGTTCTGTTAGGATAGATTAAAGAAAAGTATTAAAAAAAATGTATGAAAGAATCCGCGTCTGTTTATTTTTGTTACCTTCCAAATCTATGGGGATCGAAAGGCAAGATGTTATTAGAGTTCTGTAATTACTTACAGCTATATCCTTCGTAAAGCAAATATGTGACGATCGAGGGATTCCGAGTATCGTAAGAATCGAGTGACCAGAACTAACGGTCCCTCAGAGACTATTATCGAATCTTGTTTGCTGCGAGAACGATTCGTGGTTGAATTGAGTGTTTATTTCAGACAATCTGTATGCTGTCTGACCATGACAAATGAATGAACCAATGTGTAAACCTCAATAACAATGAATCAGAGTGGATGTTATGATGTTGAAGAGGTGATTAGGAAAATAATATATTTCTAATCACATGTAATGTAAGAAGTAAATTGATTTTTTAAAGTTTATTGTATTTTTTTTAAAGACACTTTCTTAGTATTTTTACTGTTAACTATAAAAATATGCAATAAAAATAGAAAAAAGAAGTAAATTTATATATTGTACTTTTAGACCCTTTTAGCAATGAGAATTGTTAATTGCCTCATTCTATTAAGCTTTGTTTTGGAACTATTTAAACACAGCCATGTCACACAACACTTTTTTTTGCTGCCTTTAGGCAATTACGAAACTATGTTTATAGATGGTTCCATATAAAAAATATGCGCTTAACATTATCAACGATTATCATCTCTTAAAGTAGGTATATTATCTTTTGATAATGTTGAGAGCATCCCACTCAATATTTCTATATTATCGATTTGTTAGATGTGTAGTAGATTAATTCCCGAGACAGTTTGAGAGCAGTGCCTCTCGAAATGATTGAACGGGGACCAAGGGGTTTGTCTCGGCTTTATTTTAATTTCGTAAAGTGTCTGTTTTGCAACGTAAATGCCTTAGCCAAGGGGAGGACTAAGGCTCCGTGGTCGCCCTCGCTTTATGTTTTGACAATGATTGACTTATCCCTGACGAGTTTCAGGGAAAATATGGGACCTTATTGGGGTCGCTCTAAATAAAAAAAGGGGAAAAGTGCATCCTTGGGCAACATGCTTTTATTCATTTCGAGTATCAAATTCTACTGAAGATTTACTTATTTAAAATTGTAGAATTAGATACTTCGGTAGTGTGGTAACTTTAGTAAAATAAGACTTAAAGTGCATAATAGGTTGTGCAAAGGTTAAGACAGTCAAAATTCAAGAACGCATTTCTTATAGTTTTGAGTTCTTGGATTTTACGGCTTATGTTTGTGTCCAGTGCAAGTGGTACGAATAATTCTAACGCTACGTCTATTGTGAAAGTTACAGTTTATTGTGCAATATAGTTTGGTGTATAATGCCACAGTACACAGATTTAAACAGCAAGTTATGTAAACTGCAACGAGCTTGTCTGAAATTAGTCCATCTGCGACAGAACTATTTAATCTGATTTAACTCTGTCCTTCATATGGTGGTAGAGAATTCTATATTTTTATAATGTATTTTTTTCTAATTATCATATATTTTATAACATAATATAATATTATATTGTAATCGTTAATAAATAAAACAAAGTTGTATTATGTTGCTCTTTATGTGCTAATTAAATAGTATTTTTGCTGTGACAGTAAATAAGTTATTTTCAAAGATCGTCATATATGGTTAAAAGTTATACTTATATGTAATAACAATTTCTTGAGATATAATTTTGCTGCTAAGTGACCTGTTGCCATCAATGTACTGTGGCAGTTTCTATTCTAGTTTAGAAAGAGGTTCTATAGACAGTGCTTGTGAGTCAGAAAGTGCGAAGAGGTGCATTGAAGTTTGTGTGCTATATAGTATTATATTAGTGTGAAAGTCAGTGCAGAAGTCTATTTGGCTAAGATTTATAACGTTAATTTTCACATTTTACAGATTGTTATTGTGGTGTTTGTTCGGAAATTTGGAATTTTTTAAACTTACTCCTTTTTTATTTCGTATTTGAATCAATCGCTATAAATTTTATTACACACACACAGAACTTATATTCAATAAGAAAGTCGTTTTCAGACGTTGAAACCTACATGTAATTTTCTTTTAGTTTAAAATTGAATTAATATTAAAGATTTACTTTAAAAATTATCAATTCAACTTTCTTTGATAAGCGGCTTGTTTCACCATACCGTTATAAATCTCAGGCCATAAGTGCTGATTGAGGGTGCTCCTCTATTGCTAGCTGTAATGAGTCATTTTGATACACACCCTGGCAGTGGCGGAGTCGCCACTCACCCTGTAACCACCGAGGTTGTTCACCACACACGTGAACATAGCGTCCCGCCCTTGCGCTATGGTCACGTTCTCCAAGGGGTAAAGGAAGTCCGGCTCCAGACCTAAAGCTGAAAAAAAAATTGAAGTCAGCATAATTAAAACAAATTCTTAGGTACCTACTTAACTTATAGCCGTTTTATTATTTTAAAAAGTTAGATGAAAAAAAAACAATTAAACGTTTTAGAAGTATTTATGAGAAGTTTGTCTACTGGTGTAAAATAGCGCTTAGGTTTTGTGTCTAATAATACAAAATAAAATACTGCAGGAGAGGATATTTCATATTTGATTGCCTCTAATTTTACTTGCTGTTAAAATTATTTCTGGATCACACTCTTTTATACCTATTACTTAAGTCATATTCTTTTCAACTCTGTTTATGATCATTTGACGTTAGAAATCATAAAAGGGAGTATTAGAGAGATATTTTATAAACTAAAGGTTATGCGAGATTATCAACATTCTCATCTTGTATATACTGCTAAACAAAACGAATGACAAAAATACAAAAAAAAAAAATTTGTTGGCAGAATTCTGTTTAATTCACACAACATATTTTATAATGTCATTCCAGTTATACGGCTCAGATATTTTCCAATCGCTGCCAAAGTTAGCTTCTCGCCATTTATGCAAATCGCAGCTGCGTCGCAGACGTCGGCGTTGAGGGTGAAAATCACTTACGGCGCCAGTAAGCCCGCGATATCAATGGCTTGGTCCTCGCGAACGAGAAAAAAATTGACCAAGTGCGAGTCAGACTAGCAAAAGAAAGTTGAGTTGAAACGTACCATGATAGGCACAATATTTGAAATAAATCGAAAAAATCACATTCCTTCAACGTTCAACATCTTCTAGAGGAATCTTTCAGTTGCAGTTTCAATAAATATAGTCTACGAAACTTGGAATAACGGTGAACATAATGATATTTATATCGATTTGAATGAGAATTAGATACCGGCAGCTTTCTGACCAGTAAGGTTGGTTGCCGGTTGTTCAGTAGTGTATAACAACTTTTATTATACGATACCTATAGATACCTACAATAGGCGATAAATGATTAGAAAAAGGAATGAATCGTGAATATATATTGAATTCGAGAAGACGAATAAGCATTACATTGCTCTTTATTTTATTTTATGTTTTTTTTGTGTTTGGTTAGTGTTTTGTTTGTACTAGTTCGATTAACAGATGTCATTAGTATACCTAATGTTAAGATTATTAATACTCTTCGTTCAAAAACGCTACATTTAGCCGCAAGGCTCGTTTAGAATTTATGAATGAATGAATTTATTAAATTTTTAATTTTGATACGGTATTTTATTTGAAGTTTACGAGAGCTGCAATCTATGCCTGCTTTTAACTGTGAGCGGAGCTTACTCACAGCGGACGCATATCGTACGCCCCGCACGGGCAGAACGCGCCGCAAATCCATATTTAAGAAATGCGGCGCGTGCGGCACTCACGGTGCTGAAATGTGCGATCACCTTAACTCACAACGCACCGATGAAGCTAATATAGTAAAGTTATGCTTCAACTATAAATCAGTAAAAAATGCGACGTTTTTATAGTGATAGCCATAAACTACACACATCAAAAGTGTCTAGGGATCAAGCATTTTTATGCGGATTTCTTGAGATTGAGATGTGGCTTTGTAATAAATTTATGATTTTATAAATTTATATGGATCCTTTTTGGTGCATTTCATAATTTGAATCAGGAACTGTGAATCAAATTCGAGTAAAAGATGAAAATCAGCTGTCAATATTTTCCCTATAAAAACATACAACGCATTGAAGACATTATTAGTGCTACTGTTTCCCTACTACTGATTAAAACCAACGTTATTATGGAGCGGCGACGTCATTTAAGCAGGGAAGAAATGCTCAGAGCCGTGGGAATGATAGAAGCTGGTTCCCGGCAACGTACTGTGGCTTTAGCTCTGAATACAAGTCAGAGTGTTATCAGTCGACTTTGGACACGATACCGAAGCACTGGTACCGTGGCTGAGCGCCATGGAGGACGGTATCGCTGCACCACACGGAGACAAGACCGATACATTCAAATCTTAACTCGAAGAGCTCCAACAATAACCGCCATGATGTTAGCCGTGAGGCTTCATCACTCTTCAGGGAACTTAATTAGCGACCAAACAGTCAGAAACCGCTTGCATGAAGTGAACCTTCATTCCCGAAGACCGCTACGGGTACCACCTATAGCAATGCACAATCGTAGGATTCGATATCAATGGGCTCTTGAACACAGAAATTGGGCAGAAGAACAATGGCGTTTCGTGTGCTTTTCTGATGAGTCTCGTTTTGGTATGAGACCGGATACAAGACGTATACGACACTGGAGAACCCCTGGACGCCAACAGCGATTAAAATCCTGCCAGGAAGTCCATCCTTATAGTGGTGGAACCATCATGGTATGGGCGGGTATTTGGATCGGCGGAAGAACTGAGTTGATTTGGATCAGAGGCAACCTCAACGCTCAAATTTATGCTGAGACGATTGTATCAGACGTCATCGTTCCTCTACAAGTGCAAATCGGTCCCTTATTTCAGTTAATGCATGATAATGCACGACCGCACACCGCAAGAGTTGTAAGACAGACTCTCGCCGCAGCTAACATCAATGTCCTGCCCTGGCCTGCTCAGTCGCCAGACTTGAACCCGATTGAGCATGCATGGGATATGCTACAGAGAAGAGCTCTGCCGAATATGGAGGGTATCCAGTCGCAAGAAGACCTTTTTTTGTTGTTGCAACGAACATGGGCGGCCATTCCACAGCGTGATTTGGATGAACTCATTTTGAGTATGCCAAACCGATGTTCTTGTGTTGTTAGTGTTCGCGGTAGAAATACGGATTATTAATTGTTTAAGTTACCCAATAAAATTTTAGAGAAAACTGTTATTTCAGTCTTTTTTTCGAACTTTTGTGTTAGTGGTTCAAATGTCAAAAATCCCTTTATTAGGAAAATGGCAAATTTCTTTATTAATGCAAAGGTGACTTGGTTTATCGTTACTGTGACAAACGAAAACACTTTATTTGATGAATCCTTAAAGAAAATTTTAATTAATATCAATCAGGAGAAAAGTTATTGCAAAAATATATGTTGATCCCTAGACACTTTTGATGTGTGTATTTATTGCTCTCATCTATACGTGAATAAAATGAAAAAAAAAATTAAAATGAAAAACGAGCATGGGTGGTTCGGTCAGCAGTTTTCAAAACTATTGAGTTAGCTCAAATGATTTAATATTTATTTATTTGAAAAAGTTGTTTGACTCGTTTTCCTGTTGCTTTGAGTTTAGCATGACAAATTTTATCTTCAGTATTATAAAAACAAAACAGAAAACAAGAGGATTCCCCAAACAATAAAATATCACTACATCATAAATTAAACCGGAGCAAGCGCATTAGAAAGCGCTTAGTCTGCGACTTTTATACGGCACTCGTGTTAGAGTGGATGATTTATATCGGAGTCCCACATAAAAGTATCCCGGGGAGTGAGTATTGTCGGGATAGCTGGAGGCGTCAATATTCTACGTGACTGCCCCAGTGTCGGCCAAGGAAACATGTGTCGGAAGTGAGAACTATCTATTTGCTTTGAGAATAGCGATAGCCGTACCGAATTATTTGTATGGACAACCGACCGGTATTAGATTGCGTATGCATTTTGTTCGGAGAGGGTTTCAAGTTTACTTTTGCTGAAAGAGATTTGTGCTTGCAAAATGAATTTAAACTGCTCTACTTTATACACTTACCTATACAAACCGTGAATTTTGAGTTAGGCAGTATATGTATTTTTATAGTTTATCTGACATTGCTGGCCACACAGGAACAAAAATGATGTTATGTTTGCCAAAAGTAGACCTCTATACATTTGAATATAATTAAAACCAAATGAGGATTTTCTGTCAAAGATTTTACTTTAGAAATTATTTGATACTAAATAATGGTTATGTAAGAATATAATTACTAAAAATAGGGCACAAAGTTGTGTGATGTAAATTATGTAAGAAAAAAAAAGAAAAATTGATGAAAATTGATCTGACCCGTTATCTCCAAAACTACTGCATGAACATTTTGAAACGAATATGTGATGCGGCTCTTTGCTTGTAGATTACAGGAAAACCTATAAGAAGTTTAAAGTATGCCTGGTTTTGGTTCCTTTCACGTCCAATATAAACTCGTTCTCTCTTTGTACGTGGTATCTGAGAACAGACTCCTTTTCACACGAGTTGAACTCGCACTTGACCGGTTTATTGTGTATATAGCCCCTACAAGTTTCTACAAAACGAGCCACACCCGCACGTGACACTTGTTTTTTTAATATATTCCAAACTTTTCGTACTATAAAAATCTTTCGACTAACCTTTCACTTCGCATATTTCTTCGAATCTCACTTTTAAAATAAAATGTTATCTATAGTAGTTGTAGGTATAATGCCAAATTGCTTGTTTGTACGTGTAAAGCGGAGAACGTGATTGCAATCTGTATTTGCACCCCGGCGAGATACATTACCATGATTTATTTATTTGCGATGTAGTCTGCGTTACGGGGCGCAATTTACGCTGTTTCATATAAAAAGAGTAGATAAATACATTGGTGCAGTTCAACGAACGCTATCTGATGTTCAAAATAATATGCCTTGTCCCAAAATTTTCGAGTAAATGAAGTTATAATCAGAATTTAACTCTTTACTTTTGTGATGACTTTGATAGTTTTATCTCATGCATGTTAGGTACCTACTGTTTATATCTAATATATAAAATTCTCGTGTCGCGGTGTTTGTGGTTAAACTCCTCCGAAACGGCTTTCCCGATTCTCATGAAATTTTGTGTGCATATTGGGTAGGTCTGAGAATCGGACAACATCTATTTTTCATCCCCCTAAATTTTTTTTTTCAATTTTAGATATTTTTAAAAAAAAAATATGATACATCATATATAAATACATACATCCCTAAATTTTCAACTTTCTACCACCAACCCCTATTTTTTATGGCGGTACGAAGTTCGCTGGGTCAGCTAGTTATGATATAATTATTTAGATAATTCAATCGGTTAATG